GGACGGGCAAGTGAGGTGGCACCGCGATGCGGAATGAAGGCCCCTCGGGATCATCACCAACTGCAGAGAGAATGCGCCAAGGCCCCATCCACTTGGGAAGGAGCTTGCGAGAGATGTCTTGCTCAAGGCTGAACTCCGCGGCGGAGACCCAAACCAGATCGTCGGCGCGGAACGGGCAAGGAAGGCGATTGCGGTTGGCTTGACCGCTCATCCGTATTTGTGTCTTCAACATCTGATCCCGTGCCTTGACAAGAAGCTCTTGCATGCGACGAAGGAACGCAAGATGGTCGTCACTCTCGGCTGTGCACGGCAAAGTGGCGTCCAGCGGCGATGAGATGGGTGAACCATGCTCAAACTCGAATGGCGACATCTCGATAGCCGGATGGATCGATGAGTTGTAAGCCAACTCAACGTCTGGCAAGCGCTCAACCCAATCAACCTGGTCGGGACGGATGAGAGTGCATAGAAGGACTTGAGCGGTCTGATGCACCCTTTCCGTTTGACCATCGGTTTGCGGGCGGCGAGCCGAACTCGGCTTCAAAGATGAGCCCCATTGCTTGACGAGGGCGACCCAAAAGTCAGAGAGAAAGCGAGTGTCCCGGTCGCAAACGATCTCCTTGGGGTAGCCCTTGGAGCTAATCCAACCGGTGTATAAGACCTCGGCTAACTCCGGTGCCTTTGCGTGATAGCGGCAAGGCAAAAACATGGCGTACGTGGTGAGGCGGTCGACGACCATGAGGATCCCATCAACGCCGGTGTTGTGCTTTGGGAAGGGGCCGGTGATATCCATAGCAATCGCTTCCCGTCGCCCAAGGGGAACTGGTAGTGGGTGTAGCGCGCCAAACGGACGATGGTTGCGTGACTTGCAACGCCGACAGACTTCGCACGACTCACAATAGCGGGTGGCGCCCTTGAGAAGGTCGGGCCAATAGAACTGTTGGCGAAGTCGGCCAAGTGTACGGTTGACACCAAAATGTCCGGAGGCGGGCGCATCATGAAACTCGCTAAGAAGCCGTGTGCGTAAGTGTGAATCACTCGGCACACAAAGAAGATCCTTACCCCGTGAATGCACAAGTAAGTAGCCCTCTTGGATCCGATAATGCGAAGGCACCGGATTCGGAGAGGAGCAATTCGCGTACTTGTCGCGAAAGTGGGGGTCGACTTGATAGCCGCGGATGAAACTCTCCCACAAGTCGTCGTCGATCTCGAAGGTAGAGTAGACTGCGGTGCAAAGATCCGGTCGTCGTGAGAGGGCGTCCGCAAAACGGTTTGACTTCCCGGGAATGTGATCGGGGAAAAAGTCAAACTGGTCGATGAAAGTCATCCATCGGGCAATGGTACTATTAATCGTGTCTTGCGACTTGTAGAATACCAACGGATTGTTATTCGTTACCCATCGGAATGCTTTCCGATCAAGGAGGAAATGTCGCCAACGCTTGAGGGCGTAGACGAAGGTAAGAAGCTCCTTCTTTCGTGCATCGTCGATCGAATTCACGGGAGGTACTTGGCGCCGCCCAAACTCTCCAGCAAATCGTCAATGCGAGGTAGAGGCCCCGCGTTCTTGATGGTTTGCGCGTTGAGGCGTCGGTAGTCAATGCAAAGTCGAAGGTCCTTGTTCTTCTTCCGAACGAAGAGAACGGGCGCACCGTAAGGTGAGCTGCTAGGGCGGATCCAACCCTTGTCAAGTAGATCGTCGAGTTGTGCACTGAGAACCGTGAGCTCCTCCTCGGACATGCGATAAATGCATCCTTTCGGTGGCACGGCGCCGGCCTCAAGTATGATCTCGTGAGAGATTGGCCGGTCCGGCACTATACCGGAGGGTGTCTCAAAAACATCTGAGAACTCGTCTAACAACCGGGTCACACGGGGGTCGGAAGACACATCCGTGGACGATGAATCGGTCGTCGGGACGATTCGAAGAAAAGCGATGCCAATCTCTTCGACATGCTCGGAACGGCATGTGTCTCGAAAAGATTTGACACTTACGACTTGGCACCGAATGGAAGAGCGAGGAGGAGGAATAGTACACGGGACCTCGACGCCAGTTGCATCACGAATCGTGAGCGTGCGTCGATGGAAATTGACCGTGTGGTCCGCGCTAGAAATCCAAGGCATCCCCAAAATGACATCGAAGTCGGTGTCCAACACGTCAAAAGTGACGGGTTCACATGCGTGCGGTGCAAAGTACACCGGGACAGCCGAGATGTAACGGTCCAAAAGTTGTTTCGTCTTACYGTCRGCAAGAGCGACCGTCGTYGGATGYGACTTCCTCCGTACTTGYGCGCCAAGGCSAGCCCGAGTCATGAAGGACTGGCTGATGAAGTTGCGAGTTGCGCCGCAATYTAGCAAAGCGTTGCAKGCCGCTTGCCCRATCTGAATGCGAACGTAGAGCAACGGTGCGTTGTTTTCTTCGTACCATTGCGAGACAAACTCGCGGGCCACCTTGGCAACATAGCCAAGCATGTCCCATACCGCGACTTCGTCTACCGTCGGCGAAGTTGGTGGTGCATGGAAGGAAATATACTCGTGTAAGAGGGCGCATAGGGCTGCGCTTTGCGACCCCGGAAGGTTGCCCGTCGTAGGGAGAKGAATCCAAGCGAAGTCCTCGGGCGTGAGCGGGTCCAAAGCCTCCTCGTTGAACACGCTTGCCGAATCCCTTAATGAAGACGAACTGGCGGAAGAACCTTCGGACGGTGAGAAAGCCGCACATGTATCTTGTCCTTGAGAAGCATCCAGTGAAGGAACGAGCCGGGCATCGAAGTCTTCGAACGAAAGTGGAAGACTCCCGACATCCGCATATGCCTCGGAAGAAAGGGCGGCCGTGGCCACAACCGCTTCCGATGGCGTCGAGGGAGGTGTCGAGTCACCCTTGGCGGCGCCTACTTTCCCGGACGGGGTTTCCCCTTGGTGGGGCAATGTGCAGCATCGTGGATGGTGCTGTTGCACCAAAGGCAATAACGGTACTTGAGACGCGTGCGATAGGAATTTGCCGAGAGTCCGTATTGTGCCCAAGGTTTGTCGGCGATCCGGTGCTCGGTGTAGAGGTGGACTGAGTCTTCGTCTTGTCGCGGCCGTGGTTGTTGCACGGCCGGCCACCATCCCGGGCAGCTGCCAACACTTCATCCTCGTTTGGTGTTGCAGCCTCGGTAGAAGTAATGCAAGCCACCTTTGGCTTGGGCTGGGTGCCGCTCGTCGCCGCGGAAGATCGGCCGGCGTTGCGGGCTTCGATATTCGTGAGAATGATCCGTGACGCTGTGCTGAAAAGCTTGTCAGATGTGTCGAGTGTCTCTGCAATCTGCGTCAGCGCATTTTGCAGAGCTGGACACGAGCGCATGATAAACAAGTGCTTGATGGCGCGGAATGCGAGCGGCAGGTCAGGTGTGGAGGAGAGTCTTTGGAACTCGGTAATCCAGTCCTGACTGAGTAGCGTGTTCTGATGGAGCTTGTTGAGCTTGTCCATCGCTTGCAGGTCGGGCGGCTCCACTTGGAATCGCTTGTGCCAGGCGTTAGTCAACTCCTGCCAAGTGAGCTTGGTGTGCAGTTCCGACACTGCTACGCCGTGGCTGGTCAAGATGTTGTCCAGCAATGCTTGACACACACCACCAGATCGGTGGTACAAGCACGGATGTCGATCGTTGTTCGGGACATGGTGCATGTCGAGCCTGAGAGTGAACTGGCGCCACCACGGGATCGGTTCCGTCTTGGACTGATCGCAGAAAACTGGAATGTCATCTAGCTTGGGTGGGCGCCTGGAGGATGCGGCCGCGGGCGTCACGGTGGCAGCAGCCTGGACCTGCGTCTCCAACTGCTAATTCGTTGCTTGCTGCGACGTCCGGAAGACCTGATGCACCCGCTTGATGTTGCTGACGTCATCCTCCAAAACTTGCACACGGGTGGTAAGGTTGGAAGGCCCTGCGGCTGCTACAGCAGCTGGCTGTTTCTCCAATGCCTGCAGCCGTGCGAGCATCTGGTCCACTGTCTGCTGCAGGTGACTGCTGCAGAGCGCAGGTGGCCACGAGGTCGTGGGAGACCTGCGCAAAGGCTGACAGCCCTTTCTCAGTCTCCGGGGCCCCGTCTGCAGATGCCACTTCCAGCCAATGTGCGGCCTCATCGCCGATCACGGTCTCCCGCGCGAACAGTCGTTCCCGCTGGCGTGACCAGTGTTCGGCTGCCGCCTGCAGGTCTGCCTCCTCTTGACGAAGTCTGTCCTGTTCCTCCTTCCGTCGCTTGGCCTCCTCTTCTTGCTCAATCTGACTACGTTCCTTGGCCGCGGCGGCGGCCCTATCGTTGGCCTCCTGGATGAAAGCAGCCAGGCGTTCCTCATAGGCCAGGAGGGATTCCCCCGCCTTCCGGTCCATGGCCTTGGTCTGTGATCGAGTGAGTGGTGGCATGCACTATCGTGCCCGCACTCTGAAGAGTCACCTATGGGCCAATTGGATAGGCTGGCCCAGTATTCGGACTGGAGGCGAAAGAACAGGTAGGCAGCAGACAGGTGGGAAGGATCGGACAGATCCCAAATTGAACAGTTCCCTAATCAAAAAGAAAAAATAATAATTTTGATTAAGAAGAAATAAATCAAAATTCGAAAAAAGACTGTCCAATCCCACTGAGTGCCGAAGGTGATGCAGAAAGCAATTGCGAACCTTCGGTGCTCAAACTGCAGAAAATCAGAAAAGAAGTATCTTTACAAACTCAGAGTAGGAGTAGGTTGCAAAAAAGAAAAAAATGCCGTTT